CTCTAATAAATTTGTTAGTCTCTAAGGTGCCACAAGTACTCCTGTTCTTTTTGCGGATACAGACTAACACGGCTGCTACTCTGAAACCTGTCATTTGTTATTGAATTTTTTAAAAATGCGAGAGCAGTTTGTGAGTATTGGTGTGCTTGAGGAGGTTTTGAGGAAAAAACAAATGTGCATGTGCCACATTGCTAAGGTAACAAGATAGAATACACATTCTATAGTATTAGAAATAAATATGTATGTAGGAAAGTTCAGTACGACCAGTCCCAGCTAGTGGTGGTTTTCCATCATATGTGGCTTCAAAGAGCAAGTGAATTACATAAAATGGAGTCAGTGCAAGACCCCACATTTTAGTATGTTACCGTTTAATGGGACTGGCTGGGAGGTGGGGGGAGGAGAGGAGCAAGGGGATAGAGCTACCAGAACAAAAGCAAGGGAAACAAGCTCCCAAACTCCTTTGTTATTCCCCTCTATCCAACCCTGCTAAAGTAGCACCATTCCCAAATGGAGAGGAAGTGAGAGGAGGCACCAGGGAGATGTGCTATCGTTCTTGCACTTCTCTGACCTTGCATAGGTCTCCGTTCAGGCATCCTAGGGAAAACAGATAGAGGATTGCCACAGTATTGTGGGAACTTTTGACTGTGAACCAGACTAATATGGAAGGGAAACCCTGAGCAATGCTGCTGCTGCTGGGCTTGTCTGTAGGAGTAACACGGAGAGTATCCTACGGTAAAACTATAAGACTAACATTCATTCATTAACAAAAACAAAGCTCTGGGCTCACGCCTGGAAAATGCAGAGAATCAACACAGGGTCCATACTGTGGAGGAAAGTGCCCTGCCACAGAGCAGGAGAAAGGGGAACCCATCCGCTCTCCTGAAAAATGGTCTCTAGGAGCCTTGGAGGCAGATGTCATGAATGGACATGGAAGAAGCATGCAGGAGCCGTTCCAGGTGACAAAACAAACCAAGCCTGTGGGAAACACATTAGGCTCTTTATCCCTCAGGGCTAACCACACAAGGTGCTGCTGAGGTCTCCTGTGAGCTATGAAGCACCCGCCACTCCCGTTAAAGTCAACGGGAGTTGAGGGGGCTCAGCCCCTTGCAGGGCTGCACAGAAAGGTGAGCCAGGAGAATGATCGTCCCCCTCTGATATTAGCCCAACAAGACCTCCATCGATGGTCCCCTGTTAGCTCTCCATAGCATGGCACGGAGTAGCCTCCCTAGGATACCCTGTTTGCTATTCATGGTGAGATTGCAATCTGCTTTCAGAGCTTTCTTGGGGTGGAGGTAGGGGGAGTTGTTCAGGCTCTTTCTTGCTATGTGTTCTAACGCTTTGATTCAGAATCAGTTGTGTGAGGAGCTAGCGGGAGGTGAGAGCTGGGCCCAGCTAAGTATATAGATCCGCCGAGGGGCAGCTTACTGCTAACTGGTTTGGACGACTTTTCCCTGGTTAGCCAGCTGTGAAAGTGTGAGACTTCACCTCTAGCCCTCAGTGGGGTGGGGTGGGGGGCACAGCACTGACCCCCTTCACCCCATAGCATTTTTAATGATCAACTTTAAGATTATTCTGTCATCACCAAGGATTGCGAGGCATCCGGTTATCAGCCATTAAAAGTCTGGTGGGCGGCACAGCAGGGACCCTGCAGCCCCCAGGCGCATGGGGGGCCAGGGAGGCTCCGCGCACTGCCTCCGCCCCCAGTGCTAGCTAAGCAGCTCCCATTGCCTGGGAACTGCAACCAAAGGGAGCTGCGGGGGCGGCGCCTGCAGACAGGAGGGCAGCGGGTGGAGCCTCACTGGCCACCAATGTGCCTCTGGGCTGCACTGTAGGGACCTGGCGACCCCTTCCTGGGTGCCGCAGTAAGCACTGCCGGGACCCTGAAACCCTGCCCCAGCCTAGAGTCCTCTCCTGCACCCAAACTCCCTCCTGGAGCCTGCACCCCCCAATACCTCCTGCCCCAGCCCCCACCTGCACCCCAAACCCCTCATCCCCGGCCCTACCCTCGGAGCCCTCACCCCCCCCACCCACACACACACCCCAACCTCCTGCTCCAGCCCGGAGTCCCCTCCTGCACTGCAACTCCCTCCCGGAGACTGCACCCCACAACCCCCCCACTCCAACCCCCTGTCCCAGCCCTGAGCCTGCTCCTATACCCCAAACCCCTCATCCCTGGCCCCACCCCAGAGCTCGCAACCCCTCCTGCACTCTGAACCCCTTGGCCCCGGCCTGAGGCCCCTCCTGCACCCCAACCCATTCATCCCTGGGAACCACCCAGAGCCTGTACCCCCAGCCCTCGCCCTCACCACCCTACACCCGAACCCTCTGCCCCAGCCCGTATCCCTCTCCCACACTCTGAACCCCTAATTTCTGGCCCCATCTGGAGTCTGCAGCCCCAGCCCAGAGCCCATACCCCGTCCCCTGCACTCCAATCTCCTGTCCCAGCACAGAGCCCTTTCCCACACCCCAAACCTCTCATCCCTGGCCTCACCCCAGAGCCCACACCCCCAGTGAGAGCCCTCCCTCCCCTCTCAAAACCCAACCCCTGCTTCAGCCCGGTGAAAATGAATGAGGGTGGGGGAGAGTGAGCGACGGAGGGATGGAGCGAGTGGGGGCGGAGCCTCGTAGAAGGAGTGGGGTAGGGGCGGGGCCTCAGGGGTGGGGAAGGGTCAGGGGTGTTCGGTTCTGTACTATTAGAAAGTTGGCAACCCTAGTCACCATCTTAGTCTCCTTCATCTGCTGCATTCTCAACACCAGTTGCTGCGCTTGCTGTTGGTTTTATTGCGAAGGATTGTGGTAGATTCTCCACCACTGGTGAGTTTTCAATCAAGATTGGATGTGTATCCAAAAGATCTGCTGTAGGAATTATTCTGGGGAAGCTCAATGGCCTGTGTGATATAGGAAGCCAGACTAGATTAACACACTGGTCCCTACTGGCCTTAGAATCTAGGACTTTAACCAGAAGGGCCTCAATTTCTCTCTGAAAGCAGATGGGCCACGTTTTTCTCTTCTGTGGAAGTACCCCTCAAATCAGACATTCTTGGCTCTAATGTGATTCTCCAGCATCTCCTCTCCTCAATTATAGAGCAGGCCAAACACGGTCCCTACATTTTTACAGGATTTGACACCTGCAAGTATTTGATGCTGACCTGTGTTTCCTTACATCCGATCTAGGCACTTCCTATCGCGACCCACACGCCCTCCCAGGTTGGTAATGTCTGAGTGCTTCTATTCTACCTTTTGTGTGAACTGACTGAGTGTTCTAGCGAACGAGTCCTCCATTTTGACTGTGTGGGAAGGGACGGAAATAAGGTTTGGCTGCGGCATCCCACTGGCATTTGGCTGAGGAGGAGGGCTGGACTTCCCCACCTCTGCTGAACTGACACAAGTGCCGTGTGTGTCTAGCTGGGTTGAAATGGAAATAACTGTAGTCCTGTTCCACCAACATTGAGCTGCCCTGGATGTTGTTAGGTCCCTGTCAGCACATCCCTCATTAAAGATGGGTTTGCTCTCTCCACTCAAGTTACTACCCGCTAGCCCTGATCAGCCATATCCAACCCAACTCACAGTGCTAGTTGTGCTCAGAGACTAGAGACACATGTGAAACTGGGCAGGGAACAGGGATAGAGACAAGTAATCAGAGGCAGGAAGAAACATGACCCTGGGCACTGAATGTGGAAGGCAGGGGATAGGATGACCTGGTGGGAGAGATGTGGAGCAGATAGATGGTAGAGGCAGGCCCTGCTGCCACCCTCTATGCCCAATCCTGAAAGGTGCAGTCAGTACTGTCCAGCGGGTGATTGATCCCTCATCCAATAGGACTTGTCATTAGTAACACTGGTGCCCCAACAAAGAAGTAACCAAAAAAATAAAACAATAAAAAACAAACCCTAAAATGCCCAATGCCAAGCTTCATGGGAATCACATGGGGAAATGTCTATCCACCTGCCAAGCAGAAGGGAAAAATTGATATGAAAAATGTATTTCCAAAATTCTAGCAGGGTGCTACAAACAGTGAGCTTGATCCTTCAAGTCTCCTGCAAACTCCTAGTAAAGTCAGTGGGAGCTCCAGGAGTAGAGGGTGTGCAAGGTTGAGAGTAATGGCAAGTAAAACAGATAATTGCAAACGAATTATCTGAATCCCTTCCAAGCTGAGGTTGGGTCACTAACATCCCAATTTAACCTTCCAAGAAGACAGAGACAACTTAGGCATAGCCTTGGTCCCCAACTTGTGTTAATTTTGCAGATATAACAATATGCACAATGTTCAGTGCTGATCTGTCCAATACATTTGGTAGCAACTACTCGACTTGCTCTGAATTTGCCAGTTTTATTTTGCGTGTGATCAGTGGACATATGGTGCTATTATTAGATTCAATAAATAAACCACAGTTATGACTATGACTGAGTATTCTTGCAAAAGAGACCTTGACACAGCAGGAAATGGCTTTCTTTGAGATAAGGCTGATTTGAATGTGATAATAAAGAGAGTGTTGCATTTTAGGTGACAAAAATACAATTTTGGATTTTGTTCTTGTTGGAAATGCAGCTCTGAAACTGTGCACCTGGAGCATTCAAAGGATTCTAGTGAGGAATCCAACAATGAGACAAGCCAACTGTACCAAGGCCTCACTGGCCTGCGCAACTTGGGGAACACTTGCTACATGAATGCAGTTTTGCAGTGCCTCTGCAGTATATCCCCATTGGTGGAGTATTTTCTCTCAGGGAAGTATGTAACTGCCCTACACAAGTAAGTTGATTTATTTGCTCTCTGTTTTCTTATTACTATTCATTATTTGTATTGCAGTAGCTCATAGGAGTCCCAGTCATGGACCAGGACCCCATTGTGCCAGGCGCTGTACAAACACAGAACAAAAAGACTGTGCAGGTGCCAAGCCGCTTACAAGCAAAATATTTGGGATGTATTTTTCTGTCTCAATATTTGAAGTTTTTCCAAAAGAAATGAAGTTTCAATTGGAGCCTGGCATTAGAAAGCACAGAAATACTCTTCTGGACAAGGAAACCAAAAGCAGCACACTTTGCTCTGACTTCCCAGGCCCCACACACCATCTCTGCCTCTGCCTCAACTTGCTTTTCCTAGCCAATACAACAAGGAGTCCGGTGGCACCTTAAAGACTAACAGATTTATTTGGGCATAAGCTTTCGTGGGTAAAAACCTCACTTCTTCAGATGCATAGTCTTCAGCACTATGCATCTAAAGAAGTGAGGTGTTTATCCACAAAAGCTTATGCCCAAATAAATCTGTTAGTCTTTAAGGTGCCACCAGACTCCTTGTTGTTTTTGTAGATACAGACTAACATGGCTACCCCTTGATACTTTCCTAGCCAATGTTCACCTTCTGGCTTCTCTCTGAATTCCCTCTTTTCTGTCCTATGTGGGCTTTTATACCACACTCATTGTAGGGTCTGAGTGCCTTTCTGTGGTGCAGTAAGCAATGTAACTAACGTGTCACCCATTTGTTCTCTCATCCCCTCCACTGGGGTGAAGCATGTGCAGTGCATTGCATTCTGTTTATTTATTTACTTATGTATTTATTGGAGGCAGTTAGTTTTGGTTGGTTAGTTTGGTATGAATATACGTGCTACTGCGGTCAAAGCAATGCAACTTACACTTGGAGCTTTGGAAGGTGGTGAGGTTTATAATAATTCTTAGTTCCTGGGGGAGTTCGTTCCACAGTCTTAGACTGGCCCCTGAGAAAGTTCTGTCTCCAGCACAAATGAGCTGTCCCTTCCCGTGGAGAGTTCTGTCGTGCCAAAAGAGTGAAGTTGTTGACCAGGGTCTTGGTCCCAGAGTTTAAGACCATCTTTCAGATATCCTGGGGCCAGGCCATGGAGCAAAGATAAGGATCGACTGGAATGCGTTACCTAGGGAGGTGGTGGAGTCTCCTTCCTTGGAGATTTTTAAGGCCTGGCTTGACAAAGCCCTGGCTGGGATGATTTAGTTGGGAATTGGTCCTGCTTTGAGCAGGGGGTTGGACTAGATGACCTCTTGAGGTCCCTTCCAACCCTGATATTCTATGATTCTATGAGACCTTGTCTTTGATTTGCTATTCTATGGAAAACCAGTGTAGAGAGCTGAGGGCAGGTCTGAGGTGTTAATGAGGAGACTGGCTGCAGCGTTCTGTACTAACCGGAGTTTCCTGAGTGCTGAAGATTTCATGCCCAGGTATGTGGCATTGCTGTAGTCCAACTGAGAAGGGACCAAGGCATGAATAACTGAGGTTAGGTCATTTGCCAGCAAAGGATGGAGTCTCCTAGTGAACCAGATGATAGAAAGAATTACTCGTGGATGCTGCTAAGTGAGAGCTTCACATCAGTGAGGAATCCAAGAGTACTCCTAGACTACAGACTGAAATAGCCTATTGTGAGTGTGACCCTTCAACAAACAGAGTCTGCACTGTGGTTATGGCCTCCTCACAATGTTTCTTCTGCCCATTCAGCTTGGCTTTTGTGTTCACATTTTAAGCACCGCCACCACATCTTTGTACTCCAACTAAAGCCCCTTTTATGCTACTTCAGGGAAAACGGTGAGGTTGCTACCGCCTTTGCCTATTTGATGGCCGATATGTGGCTGGGAGAGTTTGAGTGCATCTCACCAGAGGTGTTTCGTTCAGTCATCGGCGACTTATGCCCGGCTTTTACCAAGAAGACTCAGCAGGATGCCCAGGAGTTTCTGATATACGTGCTGAACGAATTACATGAGGCGCTTAAGAAGGTAAGACTGCAGCTATGGTCTTCTGAGGCTGCGAAGTGTCAGTGCACATCTGTCTCCTCTCTGCAGTTCATTACTGCATAGCATGGAATACAATCATTGTCTCTTTTCTCCCTCCATACTGTACAAAATGGTGCTGTAAAATCATCATCCTCTCCATTTTCTCCAACTACTACACAGTGCAACCTTTAATCCCTTCATTAGCTTCCTGTTACCACATCCCATTCAAGCTCCGTATCTACATCACCAAGGCCCTACCTAATCCCCCATCTACACCTCTGCTGTCATTTCCTCCTTCTCACCCTCTAATTTCTATACTCTTCCCTATCATGCTTCCTCTCTGTGCCAAGCATCTTGTCTGCCCAGATCCACCTCTGCTTCTCTCTTCCTTCAAATCCTTCCTACCAGCAATAAGTCCCTCCAACCCATCTGCTCTGAGCACTGTCCAGTGGTTTCTCATCTCCCTTTGGTTCTGTGCCCTTTGTGATAGGGGGCATGGCTTACTGTGGCTATATAAAGTGCTGCATAGTAACAGGGTTCTATACATCATTTTAAATCATCATTAATACCAAATGCTAACTTATGTAGCCAATTGCCAGGCAGTCTGATTTGTAAATGCACCAAGTGCTCTCACAGAAGTTATCTGTGTACCAAAGCTCTGCTTTAGAATGATCGTAGAGGGGAAATCAGATGATTTTTCTTGCCCCATTTACAATTCCAGGTTAGACATCTCAGCACTGTGATTACTTAGCTCGGACAGCAAGTTAGAAGCTAGAAAGTCCATGGCGACGTCAAGTGTTATTGCAGTTCAGGAAAACTTTGACAGTCTCTGGATTCGATCCCTGCTATGTGAGGCTCGGGCAGGGGGGTGAGTTCAGTTAGCTCAGCCCTAGAGCTCCAGTTTAGAATTGGCACCTTCATTGTTTGCTCTGGGGTTGAGAATCCTGAAGGTGGTGGAACAAGGGAGTGCTCCATGCTGGACCCTATTGTGAGAGGCAAATAGAGAGTGGTTCCTTCATGCAGAGAAAATAAAAGAATATGCCTCCCAGGGAAGCACTATTGAAAGGAAGAGAGGGGCAGGGTGTTTGGCACATGAGACCGGGGAGGTGTTAGAAATTTTTACAAAAGAAAACAATGCATGGCTGTAGCTAAAGAGATCTTAACAAGGCCTTGACCCTGCAAAGACTTAGGCATTTGCTCAACTCTACGCACCATGAGTAGTCTATTGATGTCAGTGGAGCTACTCAGTGTACAATGTTAAGTGCTTGCTTACGACTTGGCCTAATAAAGGCTTCAAACGGCGATGGGCTGATGGCTGGAGGTGCTGATAAATGGAGCTGGTTGAACCATACATTTCAAATAGTATTCATTACAAATATTCCCCCTTTCTTGATTAGCTCATCCTTTACAAACCAGTCCTCATTCCAGGAAGGTATTTTCTCATCTGTAAGTATTTGCTAGAAGTTCTGAAGAATAATTTTCTGTCGATAAGCTCTTCCCAAACTGTTGACCTCAACTGTTCATTATTTGTGTTTGTGTGACTGATCTAGCTTCTGCTTCCTGAATGAATGACTGAAGATTTTTTTAAACATATGACTAATAAACTTCTGGTTTGGCTTTTCAGACAACTTCATGCTAAAACTCATGAAAACATTGGAATTTGTTAATGGAATTCTCACAATTTAACTAATCTCTCCCCATGAGTCAGAGTGAACTTGACAGTGATGCTTTTATTCATGGATCTCTATTCAACTAGGGCCCTACTTATAAATATGGAATGCAATGTCTTATAAAGAAGCAGAATAAATAATGGATTATTATAAATGATATGTTTTTACTGCCACCTGGGATCACGTGTGCTTCCTTGACAACCGGTACAAAGCATGTTTAGATGTTTTTGTAAGGGTTGGTGTCAGTAGTTTTAGTTTTTTTTTTGTCCTTACAGTCATGCAAAAGGAGATGCTATGGGAACACATCCACTTCTAGGGAAGATAGGGGAACTGGCAGTGAAACATCAATCATCACCCAGCTATTTGAGGGGCAGCTCAGTTATGACATTACATGCCTGGCGTGTCAGACCACCACCGATAAGAACGAGGTCTTTACAGTTCTCTCTCTTCCCATCCCTTCTGAGAGTGCCTGCTCTCTACAGGTAGGGTTTCTAAGAGTCCCTCAGAGCTTTTGGTGGTCTCTGTTCAGTATAGTGGTGGAAGGTTTATGTTAATAGACCATCTTACGGAAATACGTTCCCAGCGCCCACCAGTTCCAGGGCATCATCTAAAAGGGATACATTCTTTTCAGTAGAGAATTTGGCCCTAGGGCTAGAGGAGATGCTAGATCAGACTTACATTGTCCTTTTGGCTGTTAATAGTGTAGCTTGTGTTGTTTGGAAATGCCCCTGAATTGCTGTGGAGTGAGGATGGCCAGAGACATGTCTATTTTATTTTGTATTGTATAGAAAGCAACTGTGAGGCATTTTCTTTCAAATTCTCACTTATCAAAATGCTTCCTTAGAGGAAACATTAAATTTTAGCTGCTTTGTAGTCTAAGTGCACTCACAGAGCTGTAGCAAGGCATTTTGGCACCCTAGCATATTTATGCCCCCTACTGTTTTTTTTAGATGATATGAGTCAGGCTATTGTAGAGTAATGATAATGCATTTATTATCAATACGTAGACAATAAAAGCTACTGCCTGATTCTTTTAGGTGCCACATTAATTTTCACACAAGTCTTTAACAGCTCTGTAGTATCCTTCTATACAACCTTTAAGAAGTAAACTCGATAGGTACTGAAAATAAAATGAACTGAAAATAACTGTACCTTAAATATGGATACTGCAATGACTTAATGGCATAAAACATTCAGAAAGACATAAAATTGCATTTCTGTTTATATAAAAAAAAGTGATACTGATGGTTTTCCATTCCACAGTGAGACTGTGGCTAGAATAAACAGCCACCTCTCTCAATGGAGAATAAAAGGGACTCAAAAGTAAACAAAGAATGAATTTATCATGGAGGTGGATTATCTACCGATTGAATTACCACGATAGCATCTGACTCTGTATAAGCAGAAACCATCCTTTTTCAGGCCTTTATATAAGGAAAACCGCTATGGGGGATGGGCGGGGGGTTGTAAGATTTCTGTCTTTTACCTTTTGCATTGTGATTGTATTTTTCTAAGAGTATTGATTATTGCTTCCTGGTATAATATTATGATTGGCTTATACCTGATCATTTCTCCCGCTGAATCCTGCCAAGCAAATGGTGATTATCCCCTTTAAAGGTGAAGGATGATAGCAGCATGGCTTGTTTGTATAAGGCCAGTGTGGGAAGTATCATTCAGTTGGGGAAGCTATGTTGTCATAGTTCATAAGAGGCATGACACATCCTGCATCTTGGCAGAGGGTTAGACTAGATGACCCTTGTGGTCCCTTCTAACTCTGTGGTTGTATGACATTTGACTTCTGGCCAGGCGAGGCAACGCACACCTAAGGCTTTGTCTACTACACTGCCGAGTTTTGTTGACAAATGTTTAATTAAGACGCTTTAAATAAACTGCTGGTGCATGTCCACACTATGTTCCTTGTGTTGGCAGAGCGCATCCGCACTAGCAGCTCTTGCATCGACACAGAGAGCAGTGCACTGTGGGTAGTTATCCCACTGTGCAACTGGCTGCAGGATGCTTTGGGAAAGGTTTGCAATGCCTCATGGGGCAGGTACAACATCCCACGATGCAGTTTCTCAAGTGCATCGTTCCAGGGGCATCCTAGTACAGGGGAGGGCAAACTTTTTGGCCCAAGGGCCACATCTAGGTATGGAAATTGTATGGTGGGCCATGAATGCTCACGAAATTGGGGGTTGGGGTGTGGGAGGGGGTGAGGGTTCCAGCTGGGTGTGCAGGTTCAGAGGGCAGGAGGAGGATCAGGGCTGGGGCAGGGGGTTGGGATGTGGGAAGGGGTCAGGGGTGAAGGCTCTGGGTGGCGCTTACCCCAAGCAGCTCCCAGAAGCAGCGGCATGTCCCCCTCCGGCTGCTATGCGGAGGCACGGCCAGGCGGCTCTGCACCCTGCCCTGTCCACAGGGGCTGCCCCGGTAGCTCCCATTGGCCTTGGTTCCCGGCCAATGGGAGCTGTGGGGGCAGCGCTTGGGGCGGAGGCAGTGTGCGGAGCCCCTTGGCTGCCCCTACGTGTAGGAGCCAGAGGGGGGACATGCCACTGCTTCTGGGAGCGGGGCAAGCCCCCAACCCAGCTCCCCGGCTGGAGAGCCGGAACGGGGCAAGCCCCGGAGCCCGCTCCCCAGCAGGAGCTCGGGGGCTGGATTAAAATGTCTGGAGGGCTGGATGCAGCCCTTGGGCCGTAGTTTGCCCCACCCTTGTCCTAGTAGATTGCCAGCCACTTTTCAACTGAAGTGTGTGTGCAGGGGACGGAGAGAGTGTGTGACAGAGGGTGTGTGTGGGGTGGGGTGGGGGGAGAGACTGTTTGTGTTGCAGAAGTGTGTGAGAGGTTTTGGGGGGGGTGTATATGTGAGAGAGACAGAATGTATGTTGGGGAAGTGTGCATCGGCACGGCATGCTGTCTCTTTAAATTCAGACAGCAGCTTGCTCAGTATCTCCACCCCCTAACCCGCCCGCACAGCAGCAGCCCGCTCTGCCTACCTGCATTCCACATTAATGGTTCTGTGATTCCCTCCCAGTTCTCCCACAGCCTCCTCAGCAGCTCTGTGAGCTCTCCAGCCTGCAAAATGTCAAAGCTTCCCGGAGCTCTGAAAAGGGAGGGACGCATGCCTGCAGGGCAGCCGAGTTCAAAACAATGAGCAGAGTGGTCACGGTGGGCATTGTGGGATACTGGGGGAGGCCAGTTCTGTTGATATAACGAACGGCAGCGTTTACACTGATGCTTTGTCTCTTTAACTTTGCCTCAAAACGCTCTACGCCTCTCATAGAGGTGGTTTTATTTTGTCGGCAAAACAGTGGAGTTTTGTTGCCGAAAGTGGCATTGCAGTGTTTAGGCCTCCACAAGCTGCCTTTTGCCAACAAAACTTTGCGGTGTAGACAAGGCCTAAGTGTGGAGACAGAAGAAAGTATAGGGCTGTGGTGACTGTGAAATCAGATTACGCTGTGCTTTAGTGTGAGACAATGCCAATGCCATGGTTATAGTGGCTAGATGGACATACAGCGAAGTGATGGCCCTGGTCTCGTAGAGAAGGGAGTCAGGAACAGACTAGCTGGGTCACAGTCCAGAATGCTACAAGCACAGGTCACAGCTGACATGTTTCTTTGCCAGTGCATATCTCACCAGCAGCCCCACTCCAGATCTGCACCCAATGCACATTTCCCTATTGGTCTCTTCCCCTGTACCGTAAATGGCCTGTGTTTTTACCTGTCTGGGCAACTGAAAATTGTCCCTAGCCCAAAATTAGAGGCCTTTTAAAAGAAAGAGCCAAGGTCTGTTCAGCATCCTGGGCCAGTCTGCCCTGAAGGTGTCAATTCCCCGATGTGTGAGTGCAATTGCTGGCTAGTGAATGGAGCATTGTGACAAGTGGATCAGAGGGAGGCCCCTTATTCTGTTCTCTGTAATAAAGTCTGAATCAGGCTGGGCAGCAACAAGTCAGGGTCAGTCACAGTAGCAGAAAAACAGCTAAAGGCGGGAGCAGGGCGTGTTTTACCCCTACTGAGTGTTGACTAAAAAGGCCTGTTTTACTTGGGCAATGTTAACTTTCTTTGTTTCTACTGTTGCTTCCCCCCAACTGTAAATCACAAGCAGCCCAGGACTTCTTCATTTTCCTCTCTGAACACTTCCTCCTAAGCATGGAAGTCCCTTTGCTGTCCCCCACCAATATTTTTGCAAACAGGGCAGGTGGCTCATCCCATTAGGATAACTGTTACCCTTTCTGCCCCTCTCTGTGCTGGGGCTTTGCCCTCTACCGTCATCTGGCAGTGCCTCACCCCTGGCTCCTTGGTCCCTCTCCTGCCCCTGCCTCCAGCTGTTTGACCCCCTTCCCCGCACAGTCAGTTTCCACCCCTTGCTCAGAGCCTGCCCACTGCCCCCCCCCCCAATTTGCCCCCTTTAACCTTTTAAATCCCCAGTGAGGGCAGCAGCTTCAGTAGATGTTACTGAGCAATGAGCATGCTCAGTGGGAGCCAATCAGCACTCAGCACCTGCCCCACCAGGGGCCTAGTGCTGGGAGCCTGCTCCGTCAGGGGTCACTGGGCCTGCAGTCCTACAGGGAGAGGGGGCCTTGGGCTCCGACCAGATGCTGCTGGGCCCGATCCTGTGGGCCACCCCATTTTTGCACCCTTGGTGGCTCTGCTTCATGGGCGGCTGCCCCGCTTGCCCCGCCCTAGTTATGGCCCTGTACACTCATCATGTCACAACCTCACTGAATCATGTGGCACAATTTCCTCTGTGGTGTACAAACAACACTGCACAAGTTGACTTGCACAAGTTGACTTCCGCACACAGGCTTATTGAGACACCCTCCCTAAACCAGCTTAGTGGTCAGAAATTCACCTCTCTACACAGAGGTATGGTGTTTGTTTTACCAAACATGTTTTCCTTTCACAGGACTGTCTTGAATGTTTCTTTCAACAAGACACACTGACATGGAACAATCAAATTCACTGCTCCTTCTGTGGAACTAAGCAAGATGCTGCAGTAAAGGCCAACATAGGCAAGGCGCCAAAGATGGTTATTTTTCACTTAAAGAGGTACAGCCTGCATCTGGTAGGACAGCTACGTCTCCTCTGATTTACATGGGATGTAGGACAGTCACTTGCATTCAGAGGCAAAGGAAAATCAGTGCACGTAGTTTTTTTGCACATACAGTACCTGGATAGTTACAAAACAGGAAAAGCATGTGAGTCAGACTCCTGATCAACCCAGAGAATGTGTTACTTTATCCAAGCCATCAATTTGCACTCTCAGTGCATTTTTGTTCCGCTTCTCCCTCTGCAATAGAAGCAATTCTGAAAGGGGAGGGGTTGGTCATAGAGGGGAAAGTGATAGAATTGTGGAATAAATTAAGAAAGAAGGGTGTTTGTTGTAAAAGTGGATCACACTAATAAATGGAATTTTACAGTACAGATGATGCTAGTCCTGTTAGCTACTTACAGAGCTACTAACGACGGTGATGGACAAAAACAGAGAATAGTGTTCTGCCACATCAACAATGCAGACAGGGCATTAATCCTCTACCCATCCCTTTACAAAGCTGAGAGATCTACAATTCATTTGAGCCCAAGATTTTAAAATGATGTGTTCTGTAGCCATTTTGCCCTCAACAGTGGAAGCGGGTGAGGAAATCCAGGAATCTGCAAGTAGGCGCTACAACTTCATAGTTGGCTTACTTCAGTGCCCAGCACTTCTTGTTAAGTTTGATCATGTATCAATTCTTTTTTTAAAGTGATTGTTTCCTACTCCTTCCATGTATCCATCTTACTCCTTCCGTTCTTCTCACTAGCTCCTCAGCTAGTATTACTCTGGCATGGTTAGTGCTGCGATGGCCAGAATCAGCTTTAGTGCTAAAGAGGGATTTAGCGCCCCCTGTTGAGCATGCATCTTGTGACAGATTGACCGTGCACTCATTGGGGCCTTCCTTTCACTCCCAACACAAAGCAAGGACCTGCTTGTTCTTACTGCAAAATGTCTCTTGCAGTCTGTTTATTTAATCTTTGTTCGGGGCAGTAATTTACAATAATACTTAGTGTTAAGAGAGCACTTTCCGTTTCAAAGAACTGTGCAGGCCCATGTGAAGGTAAGCAAATGCAGCATTACAATAACTGAAAGCATTTGTAGTGGAAAATACTGTCTCAAAATGTTTTATTTTCAGGTTTGACTATCAAGGCAGCTACAAAAGGAAACTGGGGACTAACATCTACTATCCACTAAGCAACTTGGATCTTTCGCCTTATATTTATCCACTCTTTCGGAAGAATCCAAAATACAACTTGTGTGCTGTGGTGGTAAGTTGGATGCAAAGTTATAGCCTAGCTTTATTGGTAATACTATGAATGTTTGTTTGAATTAAATCAGTGATTGATCTTGGTCCTAAGCAGGTAATAGTCATCTCTGCCTCAGCACCCAAAGTTTACAGAACAGGAAAAAAAAATGGTACAGATACAACCATCACTGACTTATACACAGCTGGCATTTCAGAGTTAGGTGATGCCTCCTCAACTAACTCATTACTGATAAAATTAACACATTTTTCATTGGCTAATGGAAGATAGCAGGGTACCGCGACTGAAAATTATCTGGCTGTCAGGATTGAATTATAGTTACAGGCCTGTACACAGATACAATTTGAGTATCAGGGCATCATGGAATGTAACACACTAGTCCCCAACCTTGTTATAACATGGCTTGGTTTTGTCTGTGTAGAGCGGGGTGGGCAAACTGTGGGCCGGATCCGGGCCCTCAGGGCTTTGGATCCGGCCCACGGGATTGCCTCCCGTGACGCTGCGGGCCTGGCGCCGTTCTCAGAAGTGGCCCTCGGGCAGGGGGCAGAGGGCTCCACGTGCGTTGCCTTTGCCTCCAGGCACTACCCCCCCCCACAGCTCCCATTGGCCAGGAATGGGGAACCCTGGGCAATGGGAGCTTTGGGGGAGGTACCTGGAGGCGTGGCAAGGGCAGCACATGCAGAGCCCTCCGCCCCCAACTTTCCCAGGGGCCGCAGCGCTTCCTGGAGCGGTGCGGGGCCAGGGCAGGCATGCAGGGAGCCTGTCCTGGTCCTGGTGTGTGCCACTGCCACCCCGGAGCCCGAATGCCTCCTGCACCCTGCCCCCCAACTCCCTGTCCTAAGCCCCCTGCCTGCACCTCGCACCCCTCCTGCACCCCAACCCCCTTCCCTGAGCCCCCTCAATACACTCTGCACCCCTCCTCCACCCAATCCCTTGCCCTGAGCCCCCTCCTGCACACCACACTCCCTCCTGCACCCCAACCCCCTGCCCTGGCCCTGGCCGTGCATACAATTTCCCCACCCAGATGTGGCCCTCGGCCCAAAAAGTTTGCCCACCCCTGATGTATATGGAGCCAAATTGCTCTTTAACTGGTTTCAGAGTGGTATCCATGTTAGTCTGTATCAGCAAAAACAAGCCCACAAAAGCCTCTAAGGTGCCACAAGGACTCCTCGTTGTTTTTGTTCTTTAACTGTTACTGGTGTATAATTGTGTTACAGGTCTGTACAATGATTAACACAATTTAGTACTACTTGTACAGTGATATCAAACCTATTTTATTACTCGGGCATGGTACTATTGTATTATTATGCAGTGCCCCTCAGCGTGCCAATTCCTGTGTAGATAGACCCTGTGTCAAGCTAATGAAATAAATACAGGGCAAACATTGAAAGAGAGAACAGGTCAGTGATCCCTTCAAACTAATTGCACGTTTTTGTCCAACACTTGATGCAGGCTGTTTAGTAAATGCCCTTCATTCAAGGACCCTTTTTCTTTTCCTCACTCTGATTGAAAGTGCTTCCAGCTTTTGAGTGTGGGTAAACAAGGTGCAGTTTCTGGGCCTGGTCAATGTGAGTTTTGCTGGGAGATGGATTGCCAGGTCAGAGCTGCTAGCTGGGCTGTAAGTTTGATCCCCCGACATGACAAAAAATGTAATTATTGTCCAGACAGCATTTACTTGCTCTTCCTGCCGCAGAGCTCTACCTATTTCAAGCCTTTCTTTGGGGAAAGGGAAACTGGAATCTTATTTTTCCCCATCATTATCATAGCTGAGTGCAAATTAAAATGATCACCAGATTCCTGGCCTTGAGTCTTTGCTAAAATTGAAAGTGATCTCTCTCTCTCTCTCTCTCTCAACTTTGTTGTTGTAGAACCATTTTGGTTATCTGGATGGTGGCCATTATACGGCATTCTGCAAGCACACGCTCTCCCAGAACTGGTACAGCTTCGATGACGCACAGGTCAGCGAGATTCCACAAGCCTCCGTGCAGTCTGCTGCAGCTTATCTCCTATTCTACAGCTGTAAAGCCTTCTCTGTACCTACCAAACCCCATAAGTACTAGGAAAACGTCTCTGTGAGAACAGTCCCATGATTAGAATTCACTGACCATGGTAGCTAAGTCCTGTTTTGCCATTAAACTAGTGCATCTGCATTGCTTGACTGTCTATTGAGATCTTTCTGATTATGCTTAGGAATTGATTTCAAGGGAGAAATCTGAACGTTGACTTCTGCAGCACAACTTTCAGTGTAATAAGCGGCGGAGTGTCCCTCTACAAAGCCCATCACTTCCCTCTATTAAGTTATTTCTAAAAAGCCTCTCACTCATATTCTTAGCACCATTATTATTATTTTGGTTTGCACTACGGCAGCACCCATTCTAAACATAGGGGAGATACGGAGCTTGCTTAGAGATCCTTCAATCTATATGGACAAATCAAATACATGATAGCTTCCTCTAGCTAAGCTCTCCCCTCCCTCTTCTCTACTCTCCAGGTGCCCCAGTTTCCCAAATATATTCTCCGCCCACCCCATAGCATTAGGAGCAGGTTCAGTATGAAAGCCTATGGGCAAAAACAGCAGCCAGTTGACAGTACTGATATTAATGACCGTGTTTAAAGGCAGGGGGCTCCCTTTAGTAAAGAGATCACATGGCCTCATCCCTGTCCGACATTCGTTGCTCTACCCCCCGCCACCCTACTTCCTCTTTGTAGTTGTGTGTGTAGGAACAAGAGCCCACACATGGCCTCACTTGTCCCCTACTGCTTTCACTCCCTAGTCCCTTCCCCTATGCAGCATAAAATTGTCCATTAGTGGCACAGAGCACCAGAACTCCAAGGTGGGCTCACTCCAAGAAAAAGCTATTTCCCTCTCCCCCGCCCACTGCTTTTTTTCTCACTCTGAGTCCTGCATAAAAAGCATGAATGCAGCAGATGGCTGGGAGAAGCACCTGAGTTGTACTGGGATGGGTCGTATTTTTTTTATATAGCTAGTTGCACTTTATCAAAAGGAAAATAATAAAAATAACCCCACAGAAGCCAGTGCCTAAACCACACATTGAACGGACAAGAATGTTTTTACTACCGCCTCTTGCCTAGGATTATTATTGCTGTCTCCATGCTTCCCCGACCGGAAAACAGCATGAAGTGTCCCAAGTCTACATTCAAACTAAAAGTGTTGAAATAACCTAATTCCAGCTAACTGGTACATTTAATGGACAATTCCAATGGCTCAATAGTTAATGTTGGGGCACAGAATCCATGGTCTATATGCCTCCCTCTCCCCGATTTGTGCAAAATTTTAACTTTGTTTTAAAATTGTTTCTAGCCGCTGTAGGTGTGAAGGAAGCCTGCCACATGTGAACACACGCTGTGTTGTCTTTCTGGAGCTGTGGCTAGAGAGATTTAGATGGTCGCAGTGCTCTGAACTTCCCAATTCATCACTGGTTGTAAATGATGACGCCTGACTATGCCCCTTTGAATATTTATTATTACTATTAATATGCTTATTGAGAGGTTTAATAGCACAGAAGTTAAATATGGCAGACATTGTCATGATATAGAAGATTTCAGTCTCCCTGTGGTCATGTCAGGTGAAATACCAACACTTGCAGACTAATACAATGGGAGCAAGTATGTGAGTTTGACAGAGGCATCTCTTATTGAGAATGTGCCATTAAACACAATGCAACTTTGCCTGGAAGTCCCACAATAGCATCGCTGCTTTTTTTGGGTACAGATCACCATGGTCCCCTAGCATTCTCACTATTTCATATAGAGAGAATCAGAGGTAACTTTCACTGAATTCATATTCCATTAATGCTTGTACCTTGCGAGGTGGAAAGATCGGCTGGAGCAGGTGGGAAGGCATGAAATGAAGGGTATTTCATGGTGCTGGAATAATTGAAGTTGCAGCAGGACATATGGAGTCCACACAGCCCATCATCAGTGTAATATCTCAGCATTGTACAAAATTAAAGAGCACAGTAGTGCCTGTGACAGGGTGGCATCCAGCATCCTCTTTGTGTCAAGTGAGATGCAGAAGCATGACTAGGGTAGCATCTGACAAAAAGCCCTTCTCTCTGCTCTTGGTCCCGGTTTGCCTCAAAGTCTTTGCTTATTCTGCTAAGAGCTTAGAAGGAGGATTTATTCTTTAAATGTTGCAAATTTAAGTACTTGGAGGCACTCTCAGCATTAGGGTAGGATAGATTGTGCTCATGCCATGTGTGTGCTTGTGCCCTGTCAAAGTCAGAACAGCATCAAACAGGAGAAACAAGCAATTAAAGCTTAATTAGCCTGGCTGGAGTAAACATGAAAAACATTAACTGCCTTTCCTTAGGGCAATCACTCCTTGCTAATGCTGGCTGAAGGTCTCCTAGGCTGGATTCAGTAAAAGAACCCTTTGTGATATCTTATGCAGGTTTAACATGGATACGTTATGAAGTTGTATCAAGGCCAAAGGCACAATTAAGTCAGTTTTCAACCTTAATTCTGTATTGCCTGGGTTTTGTGTGCTTGATTGAACGTTAACATTGCCTTAACATTTTTTCATGACTAACCTCACGTATGCACCTGTGGAATGCAGAGTTCACCTTGCCAAACACAGTGTAGACAGTAGTTTAGCATCTGTAAAATTGTGTTTCCCTGGTTCAATCAACTGTTTGTTCTCAAACAGCCTTAAGTCATTGCCTTTCTCAGTAAAAATGGTGGCAATGTTGACCAGGGCACCAGTTTATCCCCTACTCTTTGGAAGTGTTTACAACCCCATCAATAGGTAAGTTATTTTAAGAGAGTGGTATTCCCTAGTACTATGCTGCTGTGTTAGCTTCTGGGATAGTTCAAGTGCTACCGTTCCCTAACTTTTGGACAAGAGTCAAACCTCCTCTTAAACAAACCAGAGTGACATATATTGATTAAAAGCTCACTACAGAGGACTCACTTCCAAGGACCAATGCAAATCAGGAGTGGAAACTATGAACTGTTGCCAGATAATGGAAATGTGTAGAATTGAACCAAAAATGGCTCCTAAACTAATTCACTCTGAGCAGATGGTTGTCCTTCCAGGTGGAGCGCCTGGACTCTGTGGAAGAGTACAAAATGTTGCCACTGATAATCAAATTTCGTAGATGTCCAAGAAAAAACAAATCCCCCAAACAAACATTTAATAGGTTAGTGTATTTTAAATAATTTCTTTGTTAATATTCTTAATGCATGTGTACATGAAATCTTGTATTAAAAAATTAAAGAATCTCATTTCTTTAGAAGTAATTTTAAATGCAGAAATATTCACAAAGGCTAACAAAAATACAGCTCTGCTTTTTCTATACCTATAAGAATTAAAGTATTGCAGTTATTTAGAACTGGCAAATAAAAGCAATCCTCTGAGTTCTAGAGATTTTCACAAAAGGACCACATTTTATTATATACATAGCTCTGATGTGCAAGTATGCAATCAATATGTACACTTACATTCCTAACTGTTTCCATCATTCTAGAGTATTCACAGTAGAATCAAACGTAAGGTTAGAAATGTGAAAAGGCCATAACAGTGATAGAAAAGAAAACAAATCAAGATACGCGGTGGGATTTTTTTAAAGGACATTTACTTGCTAATTAAGCTAGAATTTAATTTTGGAGCAGACTAAAAATATAATTCTGAAATAAGCTATAACTTAAGTATGCTTGTTGTTATGGTTTCATAGAAGTTGCTATTACCAAAAGCATTATCAATCAGTCTTCTGACTTAAGCAATAGCACTGACCAGAAAGACCCTGTTGCAGAGAAGCTGCTGCAACCTTATTAAGTGGCTATATATTTGTCACGGTTTTGCATATTAATATGCATTTCAATACCTGTGTTGTGCATTTATAAAGAGAACCAATTTTCTTCACTCAAAACACTTTATGTGGCTATATCTGCTCCTCGCAGTTCAATAGAAGTGTAAAAGAGAATATATGCAGCTGAGGACTTCACAGAGGATCCTGAGATCTCAGATACTTCATGATCATCAAACTTATACCAGCGCTGTTTTGTAGCATTTCTGCAGTAAGCGGTGTAGTGCCCTCCATCCAACCCTCCATAATGATTCTGGGGGGAGAAAAAAAAAAAGGTGGAGAGAGATTAAAACAATACTACTACTTTTTGGCAAAAGCCTTTCTTATAGCCTGATTCATGATTTAACCAATCTGTGCTTTGCTACCACTTCTGCCCTTAGCTAGAATAATAAACTTGAATGCCATACTTTGACCAACATGAAATCCCATTGCAGTAAATATCAGACTCGCTCTCCTTCCTTTTTTCTACAGTTTAATTTGTATCCAGGCAGGAGGTATAGAAACCCACGTGACTCAAAGTGACCTTGTAATACTGGACATATAGATAAACGTTTTTTTAAACAAGATGGATTTACCGCTAAGTTTTAAAGTTGGCTGTGGTTACTTACCGATACTGAAAATAGGTTGTATCTCTTCAAATTACTCTTTGGCCCAATAACATACTGTGACAGGTCAAGACTTTCCAAAGGGAAATCTACAGATGTTTGTAGCTTTTGCTTCCACCTTCCATCATAGGAGAATCTAGAGAGAGCAATGGTTCAAGAGATGTCCCAAATTGATGCCATGTTTATAATTATTTCTTACTCACTAATTTTAACTGGGGGCTGAGCTAAATAAGACTAAACAGTAAGTTTCACAGCTAAGCAGAGTGTCAGGGATACCTTACAATTTAAGGCTGCAATACTGCAAATACTTCCATTGAGTTCAGTAGGTAAAGTTACACACACATGTGACAACTCATATGAGCGTTTCCAGAATGGGGGCCTAAGAAAATAGGAAGCAGATGAAAACTAGATGTAAATTCTTGGTATCCATAGGCTCACGTTGTCTGTATAACATTCTGTATTTTTAAAAAGTCTGTGGCTTTACTACCCCTAAAGTCTCCATTAAGGCCAAGTTAACTGCATTTATAGATACATGTTCACAACTTATTGTCTTACCGTTTCAAGTGCACCAGAAGAACGGGTGGCAATTTCCAAATCTCTAATTTTTTCAAAGAATCCCTTCGTGTTTTGCAATGGCTACAGTAAAATCTGTTGTTATCTGTAAGTTTCTCCTCTTTGGAGAATAATCTAAGGCATTCCTAGGACAAAACATAGAAAACAC